AACTTACTGGGTACTTTTCCTAAACACACACAGTAAAAGTTTCAGCTAACAAACACAGCAGGTATTTAAGTGAACTTTTTTTTACCGAACTGCAAAAAATCTTACTGCCTCTCATCATCCGTCATCTCGTTCTTTAAATCACACATTTTTTTCATCTTCTGTTTTTGTTAAATTATTATTTTAAAAAAGCCTCTTTTTATCAATCAATCAATCAACCAACCAACCAACCAACCAACCAACCAAATCACAATGGACTCCGCCGTCGCCAACATCCGCCGCCGCTTTGAGGCGGACGGGCACGCCACCTCACCGCTGATTAATCCCATCGACGTGGAGCGGGTGCGCACTGAGGACTGGCAGATTCGCCGCTACCTGGTGGACCTGGACGGCAACGCCGAGGAGGCGTACAAGGCGCTGGTGCGGACGCTGCAGTGGAAGGAACGCCACCACGTGCACTCCCTCAAGGACACCGACTTTCCCACGGAGTTCTACGCCCTGTACAAGGTGGAGTCGTACGGGACGGACAAGGACGGCTACGCCATCCTCGCCGAGTCGTACCGCCACCAGCGCCACTGGGAGGAGATCAACCAGGTCTTCGTGGACCTGGTCACTGCCCACATCGAGAAGATGGACCGCATCGTCGGGGAGAAGGGCATGAACTACATGGCCGACTTTAGCGACACGCCGGTGACCAAGTTGGACTTCAGTCTGGCGACCTACCGCGTCAATATCCTCAACAAGCACTATCCGATGCTGGCGCGGCGCATTATGCTGCACAATGTGCCGAAGATGGTGAAGCCGGCGATGAAGCTGGTGGTCGCCTTCATGAAGCCGTCAATTCGAGACACGGTGGTCTACACGACGGACGACGATGTGACCGCCTTCATTTCGCCCGACATTCTGCACTCGGATTTTAAGGGAAAGCGGACGGAGCGACACTACCCAGTGACGGAAAGCATGCGCGGACCGGCCTTTGCCGCCAAGTGGAAGGTGGAGCCGAAGTTTATTGACAGCTTCTTCAAGTACAATAATTTGGTTTAGTAGATTGAGCATTTGGAGTATTTTGATGAGGTTAGACTTGCTTTTCTAAAACAAAATTATAAAAGCACTGTTTTTTTCTGAGATAATAATTTTTAAAACAAAATTGAAAGTGCTACAAGCTGGGATGAATCTGCGTCAGGTGGCGGAGAATGGCCCTGCCCTCCTCCTCCTCCTCGGCCTCGGCCCCCGCCTCGAAGATGGCCGGCGGCATTTGGCGGTCAAGGCAGAGGCGGCAGACGGCGTAGCCCGTCGGGCGCCACCGGTTCCGCTTGGCGCGACACTCAATTGAGACGAGGTGCTCGGAGATCTAGAAGGAAAAGAAGTTAAAAAAAAAAGTAAAAAATCTGATTAAAATAATCAGAGGGCACACATTGACGCTGACCTTTTCCGGCCGGCTGCTGACGCGAATCCGCCGACTCTTCTGCTCCACCAGGAAGAGCATCTCCTCCCGGGTGACGACGTCCTCGTCGGCGCCGCGCAAATTTGGGTCTGCCTGGGCGAGCTTCGCCTCGATCCGCTGCTGCCGATTGTCGGCGGGCTTCGGCTTCAGCAGCTCGCGGATGTTCATGATCGGTGATGATGGCGGTGGTGATCGTGGGCTCAGTGTGAGGGTGTGAAGAGAGCAAAGTGGAAACTGGTGTACTGATTTTAGCAGCAACAACAGCGACAGCAACACCGTCTTCTTTTAGGTGCTGCCTGTGTGAGCTGAAAAGCGCTTTTTTCTCAATGGGTGCACTGTTGCTGCTTCGAGTGGTAGAGAAAGCAGAGGGAGCAGACCAAAATCTGCCTGGCTGCAATGGCAGCCTACAGTTTGTACGAAATTAGTACATCAGAGATTTAAAATGTACTGCTAGCAGCAGCAGCTGGAAGGGTAGTGGTAGAAGTACTAGTTGTTGGGTGGGTGATGAGTGAGGGGGAGATTGAAAAGATGTGAAGAAGAAAGAAAAGTCAGAATAATGTCTGTCGTCCTACCAAACTATAACATGCACGCACGCACACACACACACACACACACACAATCTGAGATNACATGCACGCACGCACACACACACACACACACACACAATCTGAGATGGCAAATGATCTGCCCAAGTTTTTTTTCCGTTCCGTTTTCATTTTTTTTTATTATCTTCCCCCTCTTTTTGGTAGGTAGTAAAGAAAAAGAAAGCAAAATAAAAATGGTCACCGCCCCGCGGCCTACCCGGACTTCAACACGAGACAACAACAACTGATTGTAGCAGTCACATAATGTGGACAACAACTGATTACGACGGCAGCGGCAGCGACAACTCCACAGTCAGAAAGTGGACAACAACACGCCACAGATTTCAACAACAATCATCAGAAAGTGAGAGATGAGTGAAATGGAAAGAAAGAAAGTGGACACTTTGTTGCCCGTTTTACCAGCGGCAAACAGTTTTCTCACGCGCTCTGTGTTAGAATTTTCACCCCCACTTGCACTTAAAATATGTCAACCTTCAATAAACAAAAACAGAATGAAGAAGGAACAGTTGCTAAAGTGCTATCTATGGTGTGTTTTAGTGACTGGTGTGCTTTGTGACCCCCTTTTTCAGTAGTTTTTTTTCCGTGCCGTATGTGCTTATGTGCTTAAATGTTTATGTGTGTGTGTGTTTTTTTCTTTGGAGGGTTTTTACCAGGTTTTCTCATAAGTCTTGTCAACCCTGTAGCTACTTTCTTGATTGCCGCTAGATGGAGCTAGGAAAGTCTCAACTCACAGCAATACAAATAGGCGACGGTCACAAAAGCAGCCGGCGGCTATGAGAGCGAGTGGCTTCTCGCAACAGCAAAGAGAAGCGATAAGCGAAGCAGTAACGATAAGAATCCTCCGCTTAAAAGGGTACAGTGTGGCGCGTGTTTCTTCTCATTTTCTATTGTTTTTCGAGATTTTTTTTCAAAATGGTGACGACATGTACCGGGGAATATGTGTACCAGCGGTGGCTAGATAATCTTGAAGTCCAAACAAATGTCGTTTTCTCTGATTATAATCAACTTTTTGGCTACTTTTACACAAGCAATACTACAAAAGCTCAGTACTCTAACAGTAGAAAAGCTACTAAAAAGTGAACTGTTTTCCTATTGCAGTTGCTGCTAGCGGCGCTGACTGCGACACCATCTAGCGGCAATCAAGAAAGTTGTGGCAAAAGCTACAGGGACGACAAGACTTATGAGAAAACCTGGTATTTTGGCAGCTATCTTCAGGGAACATTTTTCAGAGACGCTGACTGACTAACAGGCTCCTCTTTCCTCTTCAGTGATACGCTGCTATCAAGTGCATCAGCACAATATTAATTAAATGAAAGTCAAACAAAGATAAGATTATTTGAGCACCCAGTGTATATAAATGATGCAAAACTATTAACGCGTGCCATTTTTAAGAAAGAAGCAGTTAAGACCAATTTTTGCATTTTTTAAAGTTGGCCCAAAATTAATCGGCATTTTTCTGCATTTTTCAAAACTTTAAAAAATAAATTGACAAAATATTTATTAGTAAAGTGAAAAACAGCCAAAAGTGGAAAACTATTTCAGAACAGTATTTTGGTTTATTAACAAAATAGCCATTTTTTGAGTGGACAGATGACAGAAATGGACAAAGGGAGACAATAGTGGTGAGCAAGATCGCAAGATCACAAGATGAGACAAGATGGAATGGAATAAATATAGCCGAGTAAATAAATAGTGAGAGTGTGTAGCCATTTGAGTAAGTAGTACGAGGAAGTAATGAATAAGCTAGTTTTGTAATAACGAAAATTTTTGGTAAGTTGGTTAGTACGTGACCAGTTGTTCCCGAGGCACCAGTCGGCCAATGGCCACCGGCCCATTGAACATTCGTTCAAGAACGGGCCTAAGCACGTGCGCGAGCACGGTACCCAGATCCGCCTCCTCCACTGCTTCCGCCCTCGTAGCCGCCGCCGCCGCCACTTCCGCCTGATAAAAATTTATATTACAAAATTAGTTTTCCGGCAAGTAAACTCCTATTCACATTACCTCCGCCGCCGCCGAAAGAGCCGCCGCCATATCCGCCTCCGCCTGAGCCGCCTTTAAACAAAAATTAAAACGTTTGATAAATGCAAAACAAACAAAAGTGAACTGTTTTCTTACCACCGCCGAAGCCTCCACCACCACCGCTGCTGCCTCCATAGCCTGAAAAAAGATTTTATTTTAAGGTCATCTTTGCTTATCATCGTTATCAGTCAAGTCAAGCATCTTTCATCATACCTCCTCCTCCTCCTGAGCCACCGCCTCCGTAGCCACCGCCGCCGCCTCCGTAGCCACCTCCTCCACCATTGCCTCCTCCTGATCCACCATATCCTTTAAATACAGAAAGAAAAATTTAGTATTTGAACATTTAAAAACTATCAGTCAAGATCTTACCTCCTCCGCCTCCTGAGCCACCGCCGCCAAAACCACCTGTTGATCAAGTAAAATAGTCTGTTAGTTTTTCTTCAAACTAAAACAAGAAAAAGTACTCACCACCGCCGCCGCCGCCAAATCCGCCACCTCCTCCGCCATGACCTCCTCCTCCGCCACCACCACCTCCTCTGGCTTGACCCTGAGAGACGATGGTCTTGACCTGTTCAACAGCCGGGCGGACCTCCTGCGTGATCTTCCTCATTGGCATGATGATCTCACTGGTGATTCATTAAATCAATTAAAACTACTGTCTGAAAACAAAGTCACATTCATCAAGTTTGTTTTACCGAATTTCCTGAAAAAAAAATTAAAAGTTCAAGTTAGTTTTTAAAAAACATCATAAAAAGCACTGAGTAAATCTCTTACCTGAATGACCGGCTTCTTCACCTCGTGCACCATTCGAATGGGCTCCTCCTCCTGGCTGGTCATCTGCTCCTGCTGCTGGCCGCCCTGGGCGTGGCTCTGCGTCATCTGCACATTGCTGGCGCCGTTCTTGAAGTGCAGCTTCAGCGGCGAGGAGCCGCCCTCAAACTCCACCACTCGTGGCTGGGCCATCGTCTGCGGCACGTTCACCTGGCGGACCTCGAAGGTGTTCGTCGAGATGATGGCGCCGCGGATTGGGCCCTGAAAGCCTCCACCGCCGCCACCGCCCCCACCACCACAGCCTCCGCCAAAACCGCCGCCCCCGCCACACCCACCGCCGCCGCCGCC